GCAGACACTTGTGCAGTCAAATATCTGCATGTAACCTTTGACTCTCCCAAACTTAACTACTAATAACCTACTCTTGACTGGAAGCCTTACTGATAACATACAGTCAATTAACACACATTTTGTATGTTACATGTATTATATACTATATTCTTACAATGAAGTAAGCTGGAGAAAAGAAAATGTTATCAAGAAAATTATAAAGAAAAAGAAATACATTTATAGTATTTAATGAGAAAAAAATCTGTGTATAAGTTGACCTGTACAGTTCAAGCCTGAGTTGTTCAAGGATCAAGTGTGGTAGCATTCACAATAAGAGAGTTAAGTAACACAGACACACACAGAGACACTCAAAGGAAGAAATGCCATCCAGCCATTATCATTAACAATTAAAATTATATTTGTAAAGGTTACAACAAAATGGAAAACATTTGCAGATTAGCATGCAGTGTGAAATAATCTAACAATTGAGTGTGCTCTGTGACTGCCACTTTAAAAATGTAAACGTCTGAACTGAAAATATAAAGAGAACATGGAAAAATAAAATAGGTTTTGGGGGGAATTACGGGCGTTTATTTTTCTTTCTGAAGATTATGACACTGCCTTTCCAATCAATAGAAATTTGAGAGTTGAAGTGATGAAATACCTTATGAAATGCACATTCAGGCAGCGCAGATTGGGTTTGTAAGTATTGTGGAGACTTGGTGTGAAGCCTGCTGCAATGTTAGAGGTTAATTAAAATCAGGAAGAACCGCATGGTTCTTCAGTTTGTATAAACAGCTTCTTTGTTGTTTACATACACTTACCAAGTAACTCTCCGAGCAGTGCATGGTTTCCCCATTCACTTGGAGCTCACGATCTCTGACAAGAAAATCCATTCAGAGACTTAACTCACTTGAGCACAGAGCCAGGATCGAAATGCTGACTTCCAGGACCGATAAGCCCGAACTCTGGAAGGCCATCTACCTCGTTTCATGCCATTAGTGTCACAGATGACTTGTATCGTTTCAGGGCCAGCGGGCACGCCCGGATTGCCGGGTCTCAAAGGTCCGAAAGGCAAAGAGGGAAGTGCTGGGTTTCCAGGTGTCCCGGGGCCACCCGGCCATTCCTGCGAAAGAGGCGCCCCCGGCTTACCGGGCCGTCCGGGGCTCCCCGGGGCTCCAGGCAGCCCAGGTAAGTGTGAGCAGGTGTCAAGAACTGTGAGAGGCCTGGGGCTTTCCCCGGCTTGCAAGGGCATAAGCTTGCTTGTTGCTCTCTCCCGGTGCTGGAAGAAGACGAAGGCCTGGGTCAGAGACGAAGACCTTCATCACCCACGGCGCAGAAAGTAGCATGAGCTTCCCGTTGGCTTGTGTCATTTCCCCATGTCACCCAAGTCTCTCGGTGGTGACATAGGGGGCCAGACAGATGCAGCACACACAGCTGGTGATAGTACCTGGGGGGAGTCTGAGCCCGGGGGACCACTGGTTCACAGTAGCCTCGAAGACCACCTGCTCCCTGCACGGGGGAGGTGCTGTAGCATCCATCAAGGTTGCTCACTGCAGGCATAACCGTGAGAAAGAGCCCAGGCGAAGGGCAAGCAGGACCTTGTACCCTTGGCTTACCCAGCAGGACACGTGGGAACCGAAAGGGACCTGTGAGAGAGTGTTTCTCAGCACAGGCTTCTAGGGGGCTGTTTCCAATATGATCTTCGTTTCACCTTCAGATCGCCGCCTGTTACGTAAATCCTATTGTATTCCTCCAAATGCAGGAATATGCCCTCTATCTGGATCAACATGAGGTTGGGGCAAAACCTGCCACTATTGCCTTATTTCTAGCACCAGTGATACTAGATGATGTTGGTCTGATTTCTGCAATTCTCTCATCACAGTTAGCCTGACCAGAAATCACTTGGCCATAGCCTCCGGCAGCACCTGGAAAGTTTCCTTCTTTAGTTCCCCTTGCCTAAGGATAAATACAGCTTACATTTTGGTTTTTACCCCTGTCCATTTCCCATAAAGAGATTTTTATAATATTCATGCATCCTTATTAGGAAATATTTCTTCAAGTCATAAATATTTGAAATACTTCTGCCCTTCTTTTTATAGCCAGAAAAAAAAAATATTTGAAGAATGGAGGGATGGAGAGTTGCTAGTATTATTTTAGCTGAGAGATATTGTTTTACTTTAGTTCCATGGGCCATAGATACACAATTTAAGCTACCATGGCAATTTTTTCCTGCCTGTGTGTGAAGCCACTTTGCAGTCTTCCTACGTTGTTGTCACTGTGCTTTGTCTCAGGTGACCCTGGTTGGAAAGGACAGCGAGGAGATGCGGGGCCTCCTGGACCAGCTGGAATGAAGGGCCTCCCAGGAGTCCCAGGAAATCCAGCGCCAGATGGACCCCCAGGACCCCCAGGAATCCCAGGTCCCCGTGGCGATGATGGACTGCCTGGTCTGCCAGGTCCCAAGGGTGGGTAGCACTTTTCAGTTATTTTCCTCATTTTATTTACTTGAAATCCACTGCCTGGTGAAGCCTGTTTGGCATGACCACTATGAGCCTGACTTTGTTCCTCCCGTGGTGGCAGCTCCCTTCTTGTCCTCCGTATTCTCATTTCCAGCGGCAGACTGTTTTGGTAGGTGGGGTGTTCTTCTCAGTGACCTGGGTGGAGCCCGTGATCGTAGCGTCCCGGCTAGTACGCTTCTCTTTTGGACGGACCATCTCCTCCCTCTCCGCCCCCCACCCTGTTCTCTGAGATGGTCGTGGGATCAGGGCTCAGAAACACGGGCCTCACCTGCGACCTGTGGGGTGGCAGGGCCAGGCTGTCACACAGCAGGAGGCTGGTCTTGGCTGCTCCCCTTCGACGCAAACCCTGAGTCGGGTGGGAGTGCGCATCTCAGGTGGGCGTCAGGGACACGCATCTGGGAACCACGCGGCCTTTAAAGCGCTTCCCTAAAATTCATGCTTTTATCTCGTTAGGACCCCAGGGGCTGCCTGGCTTGCCGGGTTTTCCTGGAGAGAGAGGAAAGCCTGGCCCCGAGGGCCTCCCTGGCAGAAAGGGCGAAGTCGGAGAGAAGGGCTGGCCTGGCTTCCTGGGCGACCAGGGACAGAGCGGCGGCAAAGGTAAATGCAGGTCGCAGCGAGGGTGCAGCGGAGGTTTGCTCTCGGGGTCTGGTCAGGACGCGTGAACGTGACCCCTGGAAAACAGGACGGGACTATCTGCAGCTCGCTCTCCCTCTTCCTTTGGGCTCTGTGGTGTTGCTTTTAGAATTTTAAACAAAATGCATTTCCCTTACCTCCCAATCTTATTACATAAAATGATGGTAAATGAAATGCTGTGTTAATAGAAGAAATTTAACAATGCTTTGATTTATAGCTATTGGGCGTCAGAGAAGTTTCTCACCTTTTAGGAAGGGGTGCAGGCAGGGCTCTTGGCTCCCAAATTCTGTTTCAATTCTTTTATTAAAAAAAACCCTTTTTTTGCAAAGAGCCAGATATACATATTTTAGGCTTTGCAGGCAGTATGGCTTCTCTTCAACATGGCTTTTGAGGCATGAGAGCAGCCAGAGACAACACAGAAAAATGAACAAGCTGTGTTCTAATAAAACTTTATTTATGGAGGTGGGCAGTTGAATTTCACTGAACTTTCACATGCCAGAAAGTGTTTTGAGGTTTTTTTTCCAACGACTTAATAGTGTAAAAGCCGACTGTGGCTCACTGATTGCACAAACACCAGCACCAGACGGCATCCAGCCCCCGAGCTGCAGTTTGCCAACTTGGAAATAGAAGGAGTTCACTTTCAGCTGCCTATGAGTTGAGTCTCCCCCAAGTTTCATTTAAAGTAAGAGCTTTCCCTACAAAAATACTGAATGTCAACTGAAACTGAAAAATAAAATAAGAGTTGGTATTGGTATGCAATGTAAAAGTTTTGAGATCACTGGCTTAAATGCTTCCACTCATGTTAAATATTTACTTTCACCTCTTAGCCATGAGTCAGCAGTGAGTGAAGGTGCCATTTCATGTCCAGGGTTGAGAATGAATACTTGTCAATTTTTAGAAACAAGGTAAAAACCTTAAAGCCCTTTGGGCAAATAGCCTCATAGATAATTCAAATTACTTTTACTTCTCTGTTGACTTGGTTCTGCTATTATTTTGTTTGACTAGTCTGTAAATTATTTATGTAGAATCAGGAATCGGAGTCAGTCTTTGCTAGCTGAGGTGAGTGGTGTGTGCTGTGCTATCTTGCTACACAGTTAATCCCACTAAAAAAAAGTAAAAAATAGGTGAATATCAGTGATGTGTTGATAAACTGGTTCTCCAAAATAAAATTTAAAATAAATGCCCTGACTTGTAGTGATTGTTGATCACATGGCCTAAACACGCCCACCATGGTATAAATAGTCTCACTGTGGCATAAATACTCCCACCCTCTTATAAATACTCCCATCACAGCATAAATACTCCCATTGTGGTATAAATATTCCCACCGTGGCATAAATATTCTCACCATGGCATAAATATTCCCACCGTGGCTTAAATACTCCCACCGTGGCATAAATAGTCCCAGCATGGCTGATTTAAAGCTTCCAAAATTCTTGAATTGTTAGTAACTGGCTCTCGCCGAGCTGGGAGGTGCCCACCCTCCACGCTCTACAATGGACAGTGTTTACGAAAATCAGGCAGCTGCCTGGTGCACCCTCCTGCTTTGTGGAGTTCTCTCTGTGGAGAACCAGGTTGGGATAAGTGTCCGCTCTTTAATGTGAGAATAATAGTGGGGGCTGGAAGGGGAAGGTAGGGAGCTGGAAAACATCAGATGGCAGTTCACGTTTACAGGATAAAGCGACTGTTTTAGACCCCGAGCTTCCCAAGCCTGCCTCCTGTCACTGAGCACCGAGAGCAGCCGGGTTGAGCTCGGCTAACGCCTGAGCCCTCGCTGTCCCCCAGGCCTGCTGGCGGGCCAGGCGGGACACGTGTCAGAGGCACGGCCCGTCCCTCGGGACGTCAGCCACGGCGTTGCTCCTGTGCAGCCCGTAGGCGCGAGTGCGGCTGAGCAGGTTCCACGGGGACCTGCAAACCGGACGGGAAGAGGTAACGGAAGCCTCAAGTGTGTGGTGCTTGTTTGATTTGCTTTTGCATAACTCACATCCAAGGACAGAGAGGACGCCCAGGAGATGCAGGGGAAATGGCGATAATCTCCAAGAAGGGGAAAACCGGGGAGCCCGGGCCTCCTGGCGACGATGGAGTCCCCGGGGAAGAAGGTAAGCGCTCTTGTTTTTGAAGCATATCAGACCAGGTAACTTCTTACAGGTCCTTCAAACGAGCATGTGTATTAGGCAACTTCCCCAGGAACACGGAGACTAGGAAAGGTCATCGTTTAGGTAGACGTGTACACTGATGAACTCATGGTGCTTTTTTTTCTTTTCCATGCGAGAACCGAGCCGAAGCTCATGTGTATGTACAGATTCAGATATTCCAAAGTAGGATCAGTCCGTAGACATACGTAACATACTGCTCCAGGTTTAAGGTGCCCCTGTTTTTGGTGGCTAGTATTAAAACAGCACAAAGATTGTCCAAGTTATTTTGACCAGTGCTTCTCAAATTTCAACATTCATATATGTATCCTTTGGGGCTCCTGCAAAAGGGCTGGGCCGACCCTGCCTTTCTAACCAGCACTCGCTCCCTGACTCGAGCTGCTGGCCCGAGACCCACTCAGCAGGACGCTGACCTCTAGTGTTCTCTCTCCCAAGGTCAGCCTTACTCTCCTGAGGCCCAGGTGCTCTCGTCTTGGCTCTTGCCTTCACTAGTTGTTAGGGACTCTCGTTTTAACTTCGGGTAAGTGCTCCCTCACTTGTAAAATGAGCATGTTGGCGCAAAGGAGCCCGCGTGCTGGCTCCTACCTGGGTCATCCTTCAGGCTGTTCACGGGCAGCTTCCTTGACAGTCAGGACGTGAAGCCAGAAACCGTCGCCATGTGGCCTAGGGCAGGAATTAGGATTCCCGATCCCTTTGGCTTCATCTCCTAAAAGTGAGACCAAGACCCCCAGCCTAGCCCAAGAATGCCTCGAATCGGTTCCTAACACTTCCAACCCCACCAGGTGACAAAGGCCATCCTGGGATGCCGGGCAGAAAAGGAGATCCAGGAAGACCCGGGCCACCGGGGATTCACAGAGGAGAGCCCGGTGGACGTGGGCTGCCTGGGCTTCCCGGCCCCCCGGGCCCTCCAGGCCCACCTGGACACAGGGGGATCATTGGTTTCCCGGGATTTCCAGGTGACCAGGTAAGCGGCTGCCACTTGGGGAGGGAAGAAATAATAAAACCTTGTGCTCTCTGGATGCTGACAAATAGTCATAATTTGCCAGTGGCCATCCCTGCCCTTTCCCTGGCGTTTAGAGTTGAGAGGTTGGCCAGGGGAAGGATGGAGACTTCCAGAGGCCATGATGGAACTGTAATTCTGACCAGTGCCTGGTTCCCATGACATAGATCAAGTCACTCACTCCACCTACTACCCTCAGCCTGGTTAAAACAGCCCCACAGAGACTCGCCCCATGGCTGTTGGAGTGCTAGAGTCATCGGAAAAATGACAAAAAGTCTGGTTTCTAAGCCTTCACATCCAATTGCAGGTATCACAGACTTTGCTCTAAATACATTGACTTGGTCTTTACAATTATGAGTAAAAAAAAACCCTGAGCAGCCAGGAGGTACAGTGAGCATGTTAGCCTATATCACACTTCCTGGAAAATGTACGTATAATCTGCTACCCATCTCTTGGAACAAAATAGACTTTTAAAGTTTTTGGTCTGAAATGATTTCCAATAATATTTTATTTAGTATCAACTTGTTCATTTAAAACTTAAAATTCAAGTTATGAGATGCAGTTACTGTTTTGCCATCAAGTGCAGAGAATTGAACGCTCCCTGCTGGTACTGAGAGCTCCGATTCTGGAGGAGTTTTACCAGCTTTTAAAAACCAGATGCGTGTAGCAGTGTGCTTGCAATGCATCCCCAAGCTTCTTTACCATTGCAGGCTATAAACACCAAACTGGTTATGGAAAATTATAACTGGGTCATGTCGTGCCTGTGTCGTTTGTATGTGAAACCCAATTAAGGTTTTACTTCTGTCTCATTAAACTATCAGGGTGAGCTGGGTTTTCCAGGGCCCCCCGGCCTTTCAGGAATTGATGGAACAAGAGGACCTAAAGGTATGGTTTGGAAATACAGCGCCCAGCCATCAATCCCGTAGTCCCGGGTGTTCGTAACATTGGGAGCAAGTACCTTTTGCAGGAAAAGCAAAGCACAGTCAAACAAACTGCACACCCAGGGGTTCTTTATAGACACCTCTAGATAGTCAAGCACTCAAGACCCAAGCCGTCCACATCTGTCATCCAGATCGGACATACCGGATAGGAAACAGCAAGCCTGCTGGGCACATCAGGCGCCCCCGTCGGGGAGTCCTTGCAGCTGCCCTGGTAGCGGCCGCAGCTCCGTGAGTGAAGCTCAGGAGCGCGGCGATCGGATCCACGTGGGCGCGCACTGTCCACCTTGGCTGAGAAGCCCCTGCCCCACAGAAGCCAGGATCTCTTCTGAGGACCCCACAGGCACAGCTTTCAGGGTCTCAGTTATGAGAATCGCAGCACAAAAGGCCAAAGCAGTGACTTCCCAGCAGGTGCTAATAGTTCACGTAAGACTCCCTGGGCCGCAGGTAATGTACGGCTGGGTTATTTTTGACCATAAGCCAAGGGTCGGCAATATGTTTTTTACAAAGGGCCAGGTTATGACTATTTTCAGTGTGTCGTCTCCGTCACAGCCACTCCGCTGTGCGTGAAAACAGCCACAGACAGTACACGAGGGGCGTGGCTAAGTGTCAAGAAAACTTTATTCACAAAACAGGCTGCAGGCCTCGGTTCCCCTTGTAACACAACCTGCTGTCTACTTTGATCGTGTTTCCAGGAAACAGAAATACAAAGTTGACCCAATGTCAAGAATGTCATTAGAGAGTTCATTAACCCTTTATCCATAGAAACCAGCAAATAAGCAGAAATCGGGCCATCTTAAATTGCAATGTTTGCATAGAACCTTTAACATTTTTACTTTTTCTATAACACTGGGTTAATATTTTCCCTATACCATTAAGTTAAGGTATTTTTAAATCTACTTTAAAATGATCTACCTTTTTAACCCATTCTCCATCAATTCACAGGTTTGATAGGCAGTTAGGTTTTATTTTAATACAGTTTTTTAAGAAACCCTTTATAATGTAAAATACTAATTAATAAAGCACCTAAAAATGCTCTCCCCTATTACCAGTGACATACCCTTTGAAAGACACCACGTGAGAATGTGATAACTGCTGCAAGACCAAAGGATCTGTGCACACATTCGCTCAAAAAGAAGACTGCAGCTCTCTTCTTTAGAAATGCTTACAAAAAGGGAAATTTTCATATTTGACTTTTGACATTTTATAGCTTCAGGACTCAGAACTCACTCCTCTTCTACTTCCCTATAAATTTATTATAGTCCCTTTGCCTCTCACCAAGTACAAACCTGCTGCTTATTTCCCTCGGACTTGTATTAGGCCACATTTGCAAAGCACTGAGGTGCGCTCAGATACCTGGAGTGGAAGGTGTCTGTCTCATGGGCCCACAGAGAGGAGGCCCAGCAGCAGCCCGTGGTTCTCTCTTGAGGCTTTTCTGGCATTCTCCACGGTCTCTTACTTACCTGCCTACCCACTGGTTTCATCACTCTCGATTTAGTATCCTTTCTGGATCCTTCTGGGTACGTTTGATTGCATTGCAACGTGCTCTGCACCGGGGCATCCTGATACTCTAATGCTGCCTGCCTCAGTAGCCAACAACCTCAGATCCTTACTTTTTATTACAACTTCTCAAGGAAAGATTGACTGACCGGGGATGGGCAGATTTCTACTCTTCTAGTAATTAGCCAAGATTATGAGTAGGGTCGGATGCACAAGAACCTTCTACAAGGTGTGGTGGGGCCCTTCAGAAAGCGGTGCTGCTGGGCAGGTCCTATGAGACATGTGTAATTAGCTCTCCTTTGCTCTTACAACCCTCCCCTACCACCCATTCTGAGCCCTGCATTTATCACTGGCTCCCAGCTGGGATGCAAGTCCTGGGGCCCCGGGGCTTTCGGCCAGTGTGGAACGGCTCTGTGGGACCGTGGGAGTCATTGCTTACAAAGGCCTTTGAATGTGCCACCTCTTGTGAAATCACCAGTCAAGTGTGACTGTGACTTTGTTTTTACAAGGACACTAAGTTGAGCTTCCTTGCAGAGAGCTGGAAATGTGGCTGCAGCAGCTGAACAGTGACAATTTCTTTTTGTTTTGAAAATACAATATAAGGATATAGTGACTCCTTGCCAAGGAATTTCTTAAACAGATGCCTAAATTTGAAACTATTTTAGGGAATTTAAAAATTTAAATGTATTAAGATTCATAGTTTCCTTTGACTGTTATCAATTATAAAATTGTGTGTATTTAAACACATCTTGCATCTATGTTTCCATTTGTTCTTATGTAGGAAAATAAAGCATTTTTTTCAAAAATCCTCTCCTGGAATATTTGAAGACAGACTATAAAGACAAATGTCATGGAAGTTATTAAGTGGCTTGTATGAGACAAAATTAAATTGTCTTAAATAATGTTATGTGCATTTTATCACTTACAGGAAGCAAAGGTGACCCTGCAAGTCAGTTTGGCCCACCTGGTCCAAAGGGTGAGCCAGGTAGCCCTGGATGTCCAGGTATGGCTACATATTATTCTTATTAAAACAAAAAAGAGTAAGTTTGTTTTGAAAAATAGAGCAATTACTTTATCCTCTGAGCCAGCAATAGTTATATCATTATTTTCTTACCCCTTTGCCATTAAGATACAAATCAGACGGATTAGGTATAAACACAGCATGGCCTCCCTGGCCGAGAACGACACCAGGATCACACACCAGGGATTCACAGTGTTCTTCTACCACGGCTCCCATGACCGATAATATTGACATGACAACATTCCCCAGGTGTGCCCCGATTTTGACAGTGACTATTGAAAGCAGTTAAAACCTGGACTAGTTTGCAGTCTCTGTAATTAAAAATGATACCTTAGCAATAACCAGTCCCAGTGAGTCCAGCTGCAGGTTTTCATTCAGTCCTCTGTTTCCTGCTCAGAGAATGCCGGCGAGGCCTGTCATTGCTAAGATACCACTGAACATCTCATTTAGTAAATAAATAACTTTCTAAAAAACAAACCAGGCAAACGCAAAACCTATCACCAGTGACAGATTCAGGTTCTTCACAACAGTACACTGTTTATCAGTAACAGACTATGACGGACCATGCGCTCCCGCCCTCCCGTCGAGGGGGCTGTGCCCGGCTACTGTAGATGACCCGCTTCAACTTAGTCATTCCTCCAGGAATTTATCTGAAGTCATCAATCAGAAAGTGTGCAGAGATGCAGCCCCAGGGATAGCCGTTGCGTGGAAAGAACTGCCCACCCACAGACCATTGGTTAAGCAGCTTAGGCCCAAAGCCATTTTGCTGACAGTGGGTGGGTTAGAAACCAGGTTTGTGTGGAGATGGGTCCCTTGTAAATGAAAGCATCTCACAGTAATATTGTTGGGCATTATCTTGAAGTTCTTTCTGGCAAGGGCCACAGTTCATTCCAGAGAACAGAAAGAACACCTGGTATACCTGAGCAGAGCGACTATGGGAAATTTTATTTCTTGGTTGCTGTGCCACATGACTGCTCAAATGGGAATCTAACAAAGAAACCCACAAGGTTACAACGGCTCAATAAAATAACACAGAGAGTCTCAGATCTTAAATTTGCTCAGGGAACAGGTATTGACTAACATAGTCTTGCGCCATGTGTGTTATAATAAACAATGACTATACCCCTGCATGAGTTTGTCAATACAGGGCCCTATATTTTATTTGTGGATTCAACTGATTATTTGTAGCACAGGCTGTTAGTTTATCTTATAAATATGAATTGTATTAAAGTCAACATTGGAAATAAACACACGGGAAATGGTCATCTTCTCTAGTAATCAAAGAAGNCACTTCCCACGCCCTTCCAAGCGGGGCTTTCACCTCTGACAGTGTCACATATATTTAGAGAATATAATATTTTAACAGAGAGGTATGGCCTGCGTGTACATTTAGAGGGGAAAATAGTTCTGAAGTTAGCACTATGAGGTTCATAGTAAATGCCAGAGTGAGAGATCTCAGGAAAGTCAGGGGTTCAAAGTGAACCCCCCTTATTGCTGTGCGTGGGGGTCTTGGCAAGTTGCTTATCATCTCTGAGCTCGGTGTCCTCACCTGTAAATAGGCCCCATGCACGTTGCAGGATCCTTCAGAGGATCAAATGAAATTCCTTGAGAACAATTTGGAAACTGAAAAATTGCTCCACAAATGTAAATGTCATTGTCAGAATCATTACCAGTCAGCAAAACATTGAGATTTTTCCACACTTCTTAGTATCTTTATGTGAACCCGAAGACAGTAAGATGTTATAAGCTAAAAGTAGACCCAAATGGAGCCCTTGGACATGACCTCATATCTTAATTTAAAAATCATAAATCTGAGTTATTTTACACTTAGGCTAACTTTTTCAAGAAAATTTCCCTTGGCTTAACTTCCCTGGTCTCCTTTTTAAAGTGCTCCCTTTCCCGTGTTCCATAGCTTTAGCTTAAAATTTAAAAATTACATCTTCTGTTACTCACCAGCTCAGGGTTTACCTAAGTGTGTGACTTCCATTGACTGGAAGAGCTGCACTGAACTTTGAATGAGCCTAAGGAGAAGCCATAGGGCTGCTGCCTGTCTCGGGGATTATGGACGATTGTCCTGGGTCCAGTTCGCTGCTCTCTTCAGCCCAGAGAGAAAACACAGGAATGTTTGCAGGCTCAATAAAATAACACAGAGAGTCTCAGATCTTAAATTTGCTCAGGGAACAGGTATTGACTAACATAGTCTTGCGCCATGTGTGTTATAATAAACAATGACTATACCCCTGCATGAGTTTGTCAATACAGGGCCCTATATTTTATTTGTGGATTCAACTGATTATTTGTAGCACAGGCTGTTAGTTTATCTTATAAATATGAATTGTATTAAAGTCAACATTGGAAATAAACACACGGGAAATGGTCATCTTCTCTAGTAATCAAAGAAGTGTAAGTTGATGTGAGTCTGGAATAGTATTTCGTCCTTACTCAACTAGCAAGGAGACAAACCGACAGCCTGCAGAGCCCTCAGAGAGCCTCTGTCCGCTCCTGGACGAGTGAGGACGAGTGTGGGGGGTCCATGTGGGGTGTGAGTTGGTGCAGCACTGATCTGAACCATGGGCAACCTCTACCAAGAACCAAATGCTGAAGGATCTGTGCTAGAAGCCTAGGGAGCACCCAAACTGCTCTTTTCAGCAGGTCACTGTCCCGAGAGAGGGACTGTGGTAGATTTTTGTAAAAAAATATGTTTATGGATTTCAGAGAGAGGAAGTGAGAGGGAGAGACAGAGAGAAACATCATTGATCGGTTGCACGCCCCCTACTGGGGATCGAGCCCGCAACTCGGGCATGTGCCCTGACCGGGAATCGAACCAGTGACCTCCTGGTGCACATGATGATCCTCAACCAACTGAGCCACACTGGCTGGGCATAAAACTTTTCTTTGACTTAAGGGATATATCCACTAGATGCCATGTGTGCTTCTGCAATGGAGCCTGGTGTAGACAAACCAGCTGTGAAGGACTTTAAGGGGACACTTGGGGGAATTCAAGTATGGAACGAGTATTAGATGATATTAAGGATTGTTATTAATTTTCTTGGCTGTGATAATGTTATTTTGCCTGTGTAAGAGAGTGTTATTTTTCAGACATACCTCCTGAAATATTTAGGGGTGGAATTCCATGATGTCCGTGACTTACTTTAAAATACCTCAGCACTTAAAGATGAATAAAAAGACCATGAATACTATGTTACCTAGAAATCCTACTCCTAGGAATTTCCCTGACTAAATAACTTAACAGTAGAGAAACTTATTAAAGATGTAGAAAAATCATCATGCATAATAGCAAAGAGAAAAACTTGAGTGGCCAATAGTAGGAAAAAAAATGGAATGAATTAATTTCATTTAGGTGAACTCAGCAAGCTATGAGCCAGTCATTTAAAAACAATAATCAGGAAAAGTGTGACAAACTTGGAAAATTACCTAGGATTCGATGCTAATTTAAAAAATCAGAATATAAAATTGTGAGTATTGCACTTTGTATGCATATAAAAATTGTGTAAGGTGACGGGATTATAGGCGTTCTGTTTTCAGTCTTTTCTTGACGTTATCTTTTCAGTAGAAAAACTGTTAATATAAAAAAGTAAGACCAGAAAAGACTAGCAAGGGCTGAAGTTGGAGGTTTTATAGACTCACTGCCTTGAAGAACAACCTACAGCTGCTCAGTTTGGACCCTTTTTTGTTTAGGGCACCTTGGACCCCCCGGGGACAAGGGCTTGCCTGGTGCTGAAGGGCCCAGAGGACCACCGGGGAGGCCAGGAGCGCCCGGCGCCTCCGGACCGCCAGGCTGTCCAGGTACCTGAAGGAAGCCTGGCACCGTCCCAGGCCCTTCCTATCTCCGGGTGCAGCAGAAAGAGCCAGAAGCCTTCACCCCACCGGGTTCGCTCTGGCTCTGCCATCTCCCGGCCTGTAACTGAACAAGTCACCTAAGCTTACGTCTTCCTTACCTGTCAGGGGAGCAAGTCCTGTCTCATGGGGCGGGCTGGGAGTAAGCTAAGTCATCACCTGTAAAGGGCAGGGGACAGGCACAGAGGGACGGTGGGACAGGTGGAAGCTCCTTCCCTGCCCTTCCTAAGTTAGTTGCCATTCGGGATGCTGGTTTTCTTTTCTTTTAGACTTAAGGTAAATATCACACATGCAGCAGAACATCGTAATGGCTCTTCTTACCGATTAGGAATAAAGTGAGGGTTTGAAATCGTAATTGGCAACTAATTGCTCAGAAGCGTATTTTCTCCCTCTGAGGTCAAGTGTAGTTTTCTCCCGAGAGTCAGGAGGTCTAGGAAGAGAGAATATGAAACAGTGCTCCTGGCTCAAGTGCCTCATATATTAAGAACATAAATGACCTTCCCAGTTAATGTAACTTGTGTCGTCTGGGTCATCCTCAGGTAATCAAGGGAAGCCTGGGCCCATGGGACATCCAGGAGAAATGGGGGACCCTGGACCAAGAGGCCTCATGGGGTACCCAGGGGTACCAGGTCTTCCGGGAATAAAAGGTAAGTCAAAAGGAAGCCTGACCCCTCGGAAAGCTCCGGGCCGACGAGGGCAGTCACAGTGCCTCTCCAGCACTGAGTGACGTTGCTCTTGGCCATGGCCCTTCCCCGCCCATGTCATCTGCAGCCTCCTGCTCTTGCTCACGCAGGGCTCCAGGCTGTGCCCATCTAGTCTCCTGACCTGCCTCCTACCAAAATGCTGGTGTTACCCTCTCGTCTCCCCAGTGTTTTCCATAATGTTCAGGCCCATTCATTTATTCTTTCCCCGGATAGTTAAGCTCCTATTATGTCCTAGATTCTAGATACTAGGTACACAGTTTTGAAGAAAATAGACATGGTTCCTGCCCCATGGAGCTCACAGTTTAGTAGGAGAAACACGTATTAAATAAGTATGTATGTGTAAATAAGTATGTACTCACCAGTTGTGATAAGTGGGAGGGAGAGAAAACGTAAGATGCTGTAAAGGAGCTAGTATTCATTATCTTTGTTTGACAAAGAAGCATTTTTTCCTGGTTGAATGTTTTGGCCTTTAAAGGTATAGTAGATGGGTTATAATACAGGTCTGGTTAATAGAACATAATGTAATATAATTATACAATTTATTTTTTTACAAATTTTCATGCCCTCCTCTTCAGTTCATTTCTTTCATTTTAGAAAAATATTTTTCCCATGGGCACTCAGCGTGTATCTCTAGCCTAACACTACTATTGTATGACATTTGTTTGTTTAGAGGTCTTTCTCACCAAGCAGAAAATGGTTTCCTAAAAAGCAAGGACTATTTTTATTATTTTTATATGCCTGGCACTCAGTAGATACCCAATACGTCTGTTGGTTGGTTATTGTGAGTATTTTTAAATTTTTGAATAAATTACTAGATGAAGGAACGGACAAACAGAAGGAACAGCCGAGCCAGAGGCACGGAGGGTCTTCGCCTCAGTCGGCGAGGTTCAAGCCTTACTTGGTCGGGCTCTGACACCAGGCCCCTCTGCCGCCTCCCTCCCTTGTCCTCCCACGGGCCTCTGGGCGTTGGCTCGTGCATACGCTAAATTTTGGTAAAATGAAAAAGTACCTCCCCTTGGAAGAGCTGGGAATCCTTTCTTTTGGGCTTAATCATATTATTGTCTTGAAGATCCATGTGACATGACATTTTTCCACACTCTCACCTCTTCGCTCACCAGGTAGCGTTCATGTAATTGCGGTTTTCTAGCAAGGAGTAGTGCACATGTTACCTGGAGCAAGTCTGCAGAAAGGCTGGTGGGCTGCCAGGTAACTTTCTGGGGAAAGTTCCCATCACAAGACAAGGCATCTTGGTATTGTTTTTCCCCCTCATCACTGGCATTTTTAATAATGTGAAGCCCAGTGATTTCTGATAAACTTTTTTCCAGCCAAATGATTATCTTGCTATTTTAAGAGTTTCTCTGGTTACTGTGGCCACTCCCCGGCCACCCCTCCAGCCCTGGTGGGGTATCCTTGGACACTTTTTTGAGTGTCTGGGAGACAAAATTGGTAAAGAACTGAAAGAAAACATTTTTCACGATTAACCACTCCCACTGCATTTCCACTTCTTCCTGTCCTCTTCCTTCAGTACAATAGCAAGGGTTTTCAAATGTCAAGTGTCATAACAGTATCCACCCAGCTTGACTAAAATGACAAGGCTCAACCCGCTATTATTGACTCTTCCTGTCCTTGAATTAGTTTGCATTTATTACATAACTTCAGTATGATATGTTATTTAAAGAAAACCTAACAGCTAATGAATTGGATTGAATAACAGAGTGACTTGAAAGGTAATCTCTAACCACATCATAATTCTGGGCTTTGAAATAATAAGTTTGTTAAGAAGAGAAGGTGAGGAGATGAACACATACACCCCCGCATTCCCCAGAGCGCAGCCGGACGCTGCAGTGTGCCTCCGGACCGCGCGGTGGCGCTGTTTCACTGCACCAGCCCGGGAACGGCCAGTCTTTAAAAGAAGCAAAACAGTGAAATACGTTCCTAAAAATTAAAACGCAGACTATCTAAATCCATTGTTGCACTTTATCACGCTGGTATAAAAATGAACCACACTCCAGCAGAAACGCTTTGAACTGAGAAACTAAATATTTGAAGTGCGTGCCAAGTAAGTCAAGGGGCCTGATTTTCTTGTTTGAACAAACCAGCTGCTGAACTCGAAGCTGTTTGCTCTGCTCGAATGGGCCATATGGATTTGGAGTCCTGCTTGTGTTCAGTCAGATTTAAACTTCAACTTAAACATATGCTGAAAGTGGCTTGATTCCTAGATTTAAATTGTCAAGTACACATGCCCTGTACCAGGAAGACACTCAGTTCCTAGCTGGGCATTCATAGAAGACTGGCATAATGGGGACCCAAAGCTTCATAGCATGACAAGGACCATAAATGATGTGGATTGGGTTCTTTAGGTTGATAGCAAGTGAAATATTTCATAAGAAATAAAATACCTTGGAATGTCTTTTACCAGCCAAGAAACATTTTCCCTCCCTTTTTACGACTAGAGTGTTCCCCTCCTGCGCCACCCCACAGCACTTACCAGTCCTGAGGTAATTGCCTCTGTTCTATCAAGTCTGGGATTGTTCCTCTCTGGTTCCTGGTCACCTCATTTAGCTCCTGTCACTAAGTACATTTGGAGACCGAAGCTCCGTGGGTTGGGAGACCATGTCTTATGCTCGTGTGCAATTTTTGAATTTAAAAAAGAAATCAAATAGCATTTCAGAATCTGTTTTGATAAGTTTTCAACTCTGCTCAGCCATTATAGTCACATAGGCCTCTCTTTCCCATCAGCTCGAACGTTAGGATGACCAGCTGTCCTGGTTGCCTAGGACTGGGGGGATGTCCCAGGCTGTGGAACTTCCTGTGCTAGAACTGGGAAAGTCCCCACCAAAATGGACAAGTTGGTCCCGCTATTAAAAGTATAAACCTGTGTAAAGGTCCGTAGGGAAAGAGTAGTGTTTTCAGGACAGAAGAAAACCTCCGGGTGGAGATCCAGTGACAAAGAGTCCCTTGGCTGACACATTGGGAAGCTAGGGTGACGATTACGCCTGGAGTGGAGGTTAGATCCTCTGACTGGAGGGAGAGCCCGGCCTGTGAGTGCCGCAAGATGCAGCCTTAAGTGATGGCCGTTAGCAGGAAGCCGTCCACAGAGGTGAATAAACGTTCTCATTACCAAGGAATGTGCTTTGTTAGCCTAATTGCCTCTCATTTGCACTGTATATATTTTATGCATGAACAACTTTCTGATTTAGAGATGGGATTGATAAAATGCTTTCAGTAAAAAGGAAAAATTGCCCTGAGAACCCTACCCAGATGTAGCTGCATTCAATTTAGAAAGATAACATTGGGTCAGATAAGGGTCGGCCAGTCCACCAATGGTGAGGGGCCGGGACTGTGAGGGCCAGGATCTGGACGTGTTGATGTGACAATGGAGAGTTGGCAGAAGCTGAGGCATTCCACTCCCAGCCAGCTCCCCCGAGCCATCAATCTTGGTGGCTTAGGCTAGAGATCAAAACACATGGAAATAGCAAAGTAGTCTTGAAATTTATTATCATTTCAGATAGATTGCGGTAAATATCCAGATTTGGCAGATGAGGAAGGTCTGTGTGTTCTTTTGGTGCAAATTTGGAACACTGGCTCATAAATAGGAAAGATGATTGGAAAATAAACTAAACCAGAACCGTTAAAAGTGTTGCTGGGAGATGGGGGTGTGCAAGAGAATATGGCCCATTTGTACCAATCTAAAGTTTATTTTATTTTTTATTGAATTTATTGGGGGTGGCATTGGTTAATAAAATTATATAGGTTTCAAATGTATAATTTTACAACATATCATCTGTACACTGTATTATGTGTTCACCACCCCAAGTCAAGTCTTCTTCCATCACCATTTATCCTCCCTCTACCCTCTTCTACCTCCCTCAACCCTAAAATTTAGACTTTAAAAATAGAATAACTGTTTCAAGTACTGTTCCAATAAATAAAATGGAACCGACTGATTTCCATCTTCTAATAAGTCCACAGAAGACTTGCTTTAATGAACAGATAATAATTAGCACTTGAATTATTTATATAGGAATGGATACCTCTAACTCCCCCAAATCTTACTACATATCTATCACAGAAAGATGTGCCATGAAATAGAAATTGTAGTCCACTTCTTTTTATTTATTTAGTTATTTTTAAATATATCTTTATTTCAAAGAGAGGAAGGGAGAGGGAGAGACAGAACCATCAATGATGAGAGAGTCATTGATTGTCTGCCTCCTGCACGTCCCCAAAGGAGGACTGAGCCTGCAACCTGGGGCATGCACCCTGACCGGGAATTGAACCACGATCTCCTGGATCCTAGGTCGATGCTCAACCGCTGAGCCATGCCTGGCCAGTCCACTTCTTTTTAAAGCTTTCTCTCCACCCATTCAACCCCTCACCCTCCACATTCCATATTTTCTCATTCACTTATTCGTTCACTCACTCATTCAGCAAACACTTATTGAGCACCTACTGTGTGCCAGGAGAGATGCCAACTGAGTACATGGAAAGATTATTAAGATCTGATCTTGCATTCAATTAATTTATCCCAAATAACCAGTTACCCAAAGACACAATTGTACAGCATAAGTCTGCCATATGTTTTCGAGGGGGTCTATGTGGGTATCCTGGCATAGGGGATGCTTTCTGTGTTAGTCCTATAAGCTGAGGCTCTTATTACCACATTCAAAGGATGTGGTCCTGAGCTGAGTGAATGGCTGGCTGTGCCCCTAGGGGCTTATAGCCTTGGAAAAAAATGAACAGCTACTGGTTGGAAGAACCATTAATGGAAGAGAAAGGTTACCAGGCGTGGCCAGGGGCTGAGGAGAAGATTCTTTCCCCAAATTAATCAGTGGGGCAAGAGGCGTGTGAAGCACGTGGCAGAGGGCTCAGCACCAGAATATTCAGTACATATTGGCTACGCTCTTTCCTTCCTCTCTCCCTCCTTTTTTCCCCTCTACTCCCTCCCTATAAATCTATACATTTATATACTCTAATGTAATATGCTATGTATTATAATATGAACATACTATAAATATATAGCTATATATCTATATATTGATAAACATATAGTGACAACTTAAGTAAAGTCACGTTGGCAGATATCTCATCAATGAGACCACATTGAACTGCAGAGAAGGAGATTTTCAGTGGTCATCATGAAATAAATTTAGTTTCTGAAAAGAAGCATCAGAATGATTCTCTTTCAAAGAAGTGGTTGCAAGAAAGAGCTGCAGCCAAACTTGACCTTCAGGCTGTTATTTCTGAGTAGCACAGTGCTTTAAAAAATTAGGGCATGTACTCCCCAGTATGCCACAGGCCCCACCTGTCCTTACTGCCTTACTGCAGCTACCTGACCAGATCCTGCAGAAATTAGAATGTAAAGACCATGGTGGAGTGGAAAGATCCTGAACCTGGGAAAAGGGTTTGCTCCCATCCAATCTCTTTCCTCATCCAGGATGACTTTACTGTCATAAAATCAAAGGTCACTGCCTACACCATACTCCAGTAATTCCAGACTGTATTTGGTCAGAGAGAAAGATGCTCCTGAAACGGTCATAAACTCACAACAGTATTTTAAAACCAAAGAAATGGATGTGTTAAGCAGTCTTGGCAGAAAATATCCATCAAATGAATGTGTTATCGGTCCTGATAATGACATGTAGATCGTCAGGTCTCACTGTTCCCGCCTGGAGAACCTGTCTGTCTCCATCAGCAGGTCCTCCCCTGAGAGGTGCCTGCAAACCATGGCCAGTGAAGTTCAAGGGCTGGTCTTCTCCGGGGGTTACAGGCCTGTGATGTGTTGCAGGTCCCCCCGGGTTACCCGGCCTGAATGGCTTGCATGGCTTAAAAGGTCAGAAAGGAGCCAAAGGAGCTTCAGGTAAGACAAAACCCTCCATGAGAGACTTAGCTGCAATCAGCAGCCCTCTGGTAGGTATTTCCTCACTGCTCACAACTTGGGTTGTGAAATGAAGAAACTGGTTTAGCTGAGAGACACAGTATTGGCACTCTTCTTAGTGCTGAAGATGACTTACGTAAAAAGGACACTTGAGAAAACCCAAAGTAAGAAGAAATCGCTGGTAACAGTGCCTTTTGTTGATGTTGGTTAGGATGATCTCTATACTGAAAATACCCTGAATAATTGCTTAGGTGGAGCTAGATTTCACAATGTTATGAAGAACGAATAGTCTGGATTTTTTTTTGGTATTGTTTTGTTTTAGGTGTAGTAATGCCAAGTACAACCACATGGGTCTAATTAGTACTTTCAGCATCCCTCAAACAGCCTGCTGCTAAAACAAATTACCTGAACAAATTGCTGTTATTTTTGACATCACAAATAGATAATGATAGACAACTGCATTTTAGCTCATTCCGCTATTTTAATATAATGCAAATTTGTTGCATTACTTTCTCAGAAAAATAGCTCACCATCAGACATGTAGATTTGAGGGACCCTGGGTAAAGGGTTGAATTGCTGTGCTGCTAGTTTGAATCTGCTGAGTCTTTGTACACTATGGAAAATCAAGAAGTAAAATTTAGGCCACTTAGGATTCATTTAGTGGCTGTTCTGAATAGTCTGATAAAATGTGTGTCTCCTCCAAGAAACCAGTGATGTTTTGTCTTTGCAATGTGCAACCCTACAGTAATTCTATTTAAATGTCACTTTCCACCTTCATTTTCAAACTAGTTTATTCCTAATTGCTCATTGTTGGATCTCCTTTGTTTTCACTCCTTCCACCGTAGAAGGTAAAGGATTGGTATTGTCACTAAGTTGTTGTTATTGTTTGTTTAAATCCGGAAAATAACTATCAAGTAAATCAAGCCTATGGTTGACCAGGGTGATGGGTCTTAAGAGAGTAAGTGGTGACTCGGGAAATGTATACAGCCATTTGGGTCATTGTTGGAACTGGGGTTGGTCTCAGCAGAAGCAGCTGCTTCTGGGTCACACCCCAATGACAGGGACAAACAAGGAGAAGACACAGTGCTAATGCTGCTCTCTCCATTAAGGTTTGAGTGAAATGGGCCCACCTGGTCCAATGGGAATGCCTGGGCCGAAAGGGGAGACCGGCGACCCTGGGAGCCCAGGAATCTCTCCTCCAGGCCTCTTTGGAGAAAAAGGCCCCCCAGGCCCTCCAGGTAAGAGGTAGAATGCTTTGTCTCTCTCTCAATAATGAAACCAAAACCCTCCAAATGTAATGAGGCTCACGTCGGAACATGTTCATCCTCAGGGAGACCTGGGCCACCTGGACCTGCAGGTGCCACTGGAAGAACTCCAAAGGCTGACACTCCTGACCCGGGTCCACCTGGAGATCCAGGACCCCCTGGCCCTGATGGTCCCAGAGGTACAGAAAAACCCTGGCAAAGGTTGGCAGTGACGCTCTCCTTAGATGCCACCAGATCTGTAGGGAGGTAGGACCAGAGAATGGCAGAGTAGGAGCACCTTGGCATCTCCCTTACTGGGCATGTGGGAGTGTGGGCCGTGGTGGCCGGCAGGGCCATACCCAGGACCAGAGCCCAGGCCTCTCACTCTCCTACTTCAGCCCCATCAGACCACCTCTTGGTGAGCACAGACTGTGAGTCAGAGCGACCCCTCCATCGCTGGTGTGTGTGGGTCTCCGCACCTGCCCCCCAAACCTCTGCCACCTGCCCAGAGCAGTAGGCCCCGGGCCTGGCATACACACAGAGACAGAGCTCTTCAGGCACTGCCACCAGTCCATGTTGTCGCTCTCATCACTTCGCAGGGACACACTCTGGCAAGGCAATATTTAACCAAACAGGGTTGGACCAGAGCTGGGCGGGGAAGTGGGGGAAGAGCATGCTCAGCGCAGCGCTGTGCTGAATGCAGATAATCACCTTCCTTACGTGCTTAAGGATGGAGACACAGCACCATCCTTACGTGCTTAGCATTTTAGTAAAGGCGGATACAGTATTATACGATTCTGTTTGACTGCAAAAAATGCAAGTGCTAAAAAAGCACAGTACAGTAGAATAAAATTTGGGCCCAATTATTACATGTAGACACTTGTTTTCAAATAGGATTATTAGTTTAATTGAGTGAACACTTCTTTCACGTCAGCCAGATTTTCTCATAACGCCTGTCACGCTTTTATTCATCGTCTATCATGTCTATCTATCTATCTATCTATCTATCTATCTATCTATCTATCATCTATCTATCATCTATCATTTATCTATCATCTCTATCATCTATGATCTATGATCTATCATCTATCATTTATCTATCATTTATCTATCATCTCTATCATCTATCTATGATCTATCTGTCATCTATCATCTATCTATGATCTATGATCTATTATCTATGATCTATCAATCTATCTATCTATCTATCTATCTATCTATCTATCTATCTATCTACCTACCTACCTACCTACCTACCTACCTACTTACCTTCTGTGTTGTTACAGCGGTGGGATGGCAGTGCAAACGAAAAGCATAAACGGGTACTTCCAAAGGAAAGCTCTGGAGGGAGGGAAGGCTTTGCTGAGGTTCATTCTGCCCAACATCCACCAGCAGACCATTTATACCATTTCTGGGGCTCCATGAGGCCCACTCCCTGTTTTACTTCTGACACATTGGTTTTCTTACCCTTCTAATTCCCTCCATCCCTGGCTTGCAAACCATTAAATCACGTTCCTTAAGAGGCTCTCAGGCGGCCAGCACACTCGTCTGTCTTTGACTGATAGAATCTTTCTGCCTCCTCCCCGTGGGCAGGACCGCCTGGGCCTCCAGGGGCCCCTGGGAGCGTTGACCTCCTGCGAGGGGATCCAGGTGACTGTGGTCTGCCAGGGCCTCCAGGCCCCCCGGGCCTGCCAGGCCCCCCAGGACGCAAAGGCTTCCCAGGATGCGATGGACACGATGGCCCGAAAGGTATGAACGCAAGTTGTTCCTTAAGTGGTACGTGGAGGCTTCTGTTATCTTGCCCTTGAGGGCCTGGGGTACTGGGCAACCAGGAGCAAATTCTAATTTTCTGTTGAATCAGTGGCTACATTTCCCAAATGCCCTGCCTTTCCAAAGAGTCCTGAAGTTCCGGTCACTGTTGGCCAAGTAAGAGAAGTACAAGTTCATCTTTAACCCCTAAAAACATGCTCGATAACCTCCTAGACCAGAACTGAACAATAGGAACATAAGGCAAGCTCCACGTGTCATTAAAAGATGTAGCAGGAGGTGAGCTTGATTCGCACGGACTTCGTGGACAGGAGAGACGACAGGGGACAGCACGTGCCGGCCACTGAATGGCTGGGGTGGCGGAAACCCAGAGGGAGAGAGCGGGGGGGCCTCAGGTCTGCGAGGCTGTTGTCCCCAGGTAGCTGAGCGTCTCCCCCAATTTTCCCTTCACTTGCAGTCCTTTGTCTCCAGAGAAAGTTCAGGATGACACGGCTCTTTCTTCATTCTCATTTAGTTCTGTCTTGATCATGAAACCATTTTCCTGAGTCCCTTTGACGGATTCTGGCGTTTCCTTCAGACAAAGGCAGTTCTTGTCAGCTTTGCAGAAAAGAGATAGAGGCTGCTCTCACCCGGAGGCAGCTGTGCCCTGCGTTTTGGTGGCGTGAGCCTCGGAACCCAGTCCATCCAACTGTCACTGCCCTTGCATCGCTGCATCCTCCGCCCTTGGTTTTCGTATGTTCCTTTTAGGACCAGTGGGATTCCCGGGGCCGCAGGGGCCACACGGATTTCCCGGGTCACCTGGAGAGAAGGGCTGCCCAGGCCCTCCCGGCAGAAAAGGCCCCCCAGGGCCTCCAGGTGAGCTGCTGATGTCTCGTCACCTCCACCCAGCAGCCCACACAGGGCACCTCGTCTAAGCAAACCCTCCTTAAGTTACCACAAAGTCTTGTGAGTTCAGCCTCTTTGAAATAAAGGTTATATTTACTTGAGGCTGCACTACCAAGTCTCCTGCTTGGTAAACTAATATTTACTATTAAAATGAGTAAGTTTGAACACTTAAGAGTTGATTTTGCATATAGTGTTTCAAAGATGAATACATCTATTTTCCCTCACCCGAGAGGCAAAGGCTGATTGGATTATTGTTATGTGAGGATTGTATATTCAGTTCCTAGCCCTGAATGCCCATTGATTTTGCTGGATGTTTTATTTAACATTTTCTGCAAAGTACATTAATTCCTATGAAGCTGAAAGGCTATTTCATTTAAACCCCATAGACAACACGTTTTCATCACAGTGTCAAAACAAGCCAAGGGATTGTTGAAAGGGCAAACAGACCTGTGTATCTGAGATGGGCAGAAGTAATATTTTCCAAGATCCTAAATCAATACTATGGTAATGTGGTGTTGGTTCAGGATATTTTGCAGTTCTCTAAATTAGGACTCTAGTCCAGAGAATAAATAAAATGCACTGCTCTATGGTGGATCATAGCCCAACATGACTGAGAGCTTATGCTCCGATTCATATCGTATTTTCTTTCTTTGCACAACCCCCAAAACTTGTCAAATTAATATGGAATCTTCAGAAGCCTTCCAATGGACAATTTCTATATACATTAAATTAGTGCATATTTGCCATAAAAAATCAACTCAAATTATATATTGCACAAGAGAGTTTCATTTCAGGTTTTTCTAGATATGAAAACTCTATTACTAAATCATAGCTGTTCTTGTTAGAAATACTATATGAACTTTTAAAAATGTTTATTGATTTTAGAGAGAAGAGAGAGAGAAACATCGATCGATTGCCTCCCATACATGCCCCAACCAGGGACTGAACCCAAAACCTAGGTATGTGCCCTGACAGGGAAGCAAACCCACCACCTTTGGGTGCACAGGGTGATGCTCCAACCACCTGAGCCACCCACTGGACACCTTATGTGGGTTTTTATGTCAGTAAGATGTCATCATGCTACTTGTCATTGACGACATCCTCAAACTAATTATTTATGTTCTCAAACAATCTATTTCACGTTTGTCCTAACTCACAATTTAAAAATCTCTTTCCACTGTATGAAAATCATTGTGGGCCTCGGTGTTTGCCTTTGGACCTCTCCAGGTTACAGAGGTAAGTGTTGCTATAAAATGAATAATTTCCTGTAAATCTGATTTCCAGTGGTTCCTGTACTTCCCCTTTTCACCGCATTTCGTGGGGTCCTGTAATTATTTTAGGCTTTAATGCCTCTGCTTGCTCGTTACAGATCTAGTAACCCCGTATTAGACTGTCCCGATGCTGAGCCTCATTACGGGCTGCCAGGGCACTGGATTCTCAGCTAACATAATTTCAGAGCAGGCACAGAGCATGAGTGCCTTCTCTGCCAAATGCCACGGTCACACCGATGGGAGCTGCTTTTATAAGTGTACGTGCACAGAACACCCCTAAAGTAAGCAGCACCCGCGCATGAGCAGACGGGTCCTGAACGCCCAGCGAGGGGCTGGCACAAGCCTTTGCTGCGGCACCAGAAGTCCATTTTCAAGGAGCAGATTCCTTTGTGTGTTCAAATGCAATGTCTTTGTTCTTTCCACTCTTTGTCTAATCCTCCACGGTGCAAAACAACATGCTATTTTGTGGCTGGCATGCTCAGGGAGCGTGAGCGGCTCTGGGAGGGAGAAAGCAGAGCTGTGAATGGCCGTGTTTCCCCCTCCCCGCCCCGCAGCAGCCCCCCCGAAAGCCGCCCTGGCTACGGGTGCCCTCGGTTACTTTTAGGGCGCTTAGAAGCGATGCCTTGGCCCCTCTCTTTCAACTTCTGGTTTATTAAGAAGGAAAGAAAAGCAAAATCATAATTTACAAAAAAATCCTGCCATTTTAAACGTTGATATTTAAACACTACAGTTGCATATTTAATGAGTTTGCACTTCAGTCCTTCTACCTCCCTGTGACTGCGTCAGCTCATTTGAGGGTAACAGCAAAATCCTAAATCGGAATTACCAGCTGCATGCCCACCCGCTTCCCTTGCCTGCTTCCTCCACTAGCTCACCACTGGTGAGCGACCACCCTCGTTCGCCAGGTGACTCGGGGATCACGGGAAATAGTCACCTGCATTTCTCTCAGGTCGCCCAGGGTGGAGGAGCCTAGTTTTACAGTAAGCTCTGCGTACAGTAAAGGTACATCCAGCTCTGTGTTGTGTGGTTTCACACAATACCTCACAAGGGGCTAAATTCCAAAGTCCTTATAGGGCTCAAGTTCAGCCTGCACAGGCACACTAACCACTGTGGAGACTAAAACCTTACGATTGTGGCCGCATTTTCTAGAACATTCTCGCTGCTTTATCAATGCTGTTCTTAAAATTACTTTGCACATTCGTATGAATTTTAAGAAAACCTATAGATAGTGTATTTTAAAACATGTTGCATTTCTTAGCATTTATCACACAGGTGTTAAGAGCTCTCCAGGCACATGGTGCGGCCCTGAAGAACTCGGGTTTGGAGCCAGAACATCCTGGGTTCTAATGTAGGCTCTGCCAAGTGTTAGCTCAGATGCGTCACTCGTTTACCTGAGCCTGAGCTTTCCTGAGACGCCCTCGTAGCAGCTGCGCATACGCACAGGCTGCCTGGGAGCCTGTGATCGTCAGGCACTGAGCCCGGGGCCTGGTGGCCGCTCAAGCACCCGGTACATGTTAGCTGATACCGTGATTGCCTGGGGCTATCTTTTCTTGCTGCTGGATTGTCCGTAGGGGGACTGAATGAAGCTTTAGAAAAAATGCCATAAAGATGTGAATGGAACCAAGAAGGAAAACCTTTCAAGCTGTTAGAGCAGGGTTCTAGAAACGAGATCCCAGATGGGCACCAGCGGCCTCACCGGGAACATGTTAGATGCGCGGAAGCGGGGTCCACCCAGACCTGCTGGCTCGGCGCTCTGGGCTCTGACAGACCCGCCAGATGATCCTGGTGTGCTGGAGTCAGAACCGCAGCCTGACACCGGCGCTTCTCGGTCCTGGCCCACGTGGAATCATCTGGGAAAACATTACTGACGCCTGGGTCCCACCCCCAGAAATTCCCATTTAATAAATCTAGATGGGTCCCAGCACTAATACTTTTGAAAAGCTCCCCAGCTGGGTTTATTGTACAACCAAGCTTGTGTCACTGCCCAGGCCCTGTCCTGGACCAATTCCACCAGTGTTTCTGGGGCGGGACGCAGGCATCAGTGTTTTATAACCGCCCTGGAGAACTCCAGCATGCCGTCAAGGTTCAGTCATGCTTTAGTGCCTCTACCGACCCTGCAGTGCCCTCTCTGAGTGACAGACACTATGGAACCCCTCCTGGCTGCAGCGTAGAGGAAGGAACCAGAGACTTTAAGCTGAGCATTAGGAACACACCAGTACCTCTCCCCACACCACCTGTGGCTGGCGCCCCACAGGTGGCCCAAAGATTGGAAATCAGTCCTGTGGAGGTCACCAAATTAGTGTTGTCAACTGACCTTCACGATTTCATACTTCTGCTTCCTCTGAGATCCCATTCACTCAATTACTCAATCATTTATTCAACAAAATGCTTTCTGAAAGTTCTTCACGCACCGACATGAACACAATCCCACCTCCATGGACCTTGTGTAGGACTGTTGAACGTTCTCGATATGTGTAGTGTCAGGAGCCCGTCTGATTTCAGATGGCAGAAGGGGCTCCTTCGTAATCATTTGAATCCATCACACAAGTGGCAACTCCCAATTCCAGGTAAGCCGGGGCCACCTGCGGATTTGGATGCCTGCCCCCGAATCCCAGGGCTTCCTGGGGTACCAGGCCCAAGAGGACCAGAAGGAGCCATGGGGCTCCCCGGGATGAGAGGCCCTCCAGGAGCAGGTACGAGCCTGACACCGATTGCTCATTATTTGTATTTATACATATTGTTTTGCTATGTAGGTTTTTTGTTTGTTTATTTGTTTCTGGAGCCTAAACAACTAGTGAGGAAGAGGTAATGAAAATTTCCTTCTGCTTGTCTATTTTTTCTACGTTTACGCAAAGGTTTAATCATGTACTAACTGGATCGACCCTTCCCTTCCACTGTTTTGTTGAAATTCTACTTAAGTCTTTTCTTGGGCAGCTTTGGGACATGAGGCTTTGAAACTTCTTAGCCCAACAGAGTAGATGCTCTATTCATGGTCATTAATAGCTGTTAACTTGATTTTCAGTGAAAAACAACTGAACAGAGGTTCCCTGGAGCAGAAACAGCTTACAAGGGGGGGAAGGAGATGCAGCCTAGGAGGAGGGTGAGGGTGGATCACTCTAAATTATGGCAATGACTGCACTGTTTATTTAATTGATTTGAACATTGCTCAATCCTTGTCAGGGTAGCAGGATCCTTATTTAAGTATTTAAACGAAACCATTCCTCTGAAAAGTGTCCTCCAAATCGTTTATTTTCTCATATCTCCACCGCACTGGATAATTTACAAAGTGATTAGGGAGCCCGGGCTGCTGGGCTGGTCATCTGGTGGTCACTGATCTTTTCAGACCAATTGGCAGTGCCCCTGATTCTAGATAACCTGTGTGCAAGGTATCCTAAGAGGCCCAAGGCCATTCCTTTCCCATTTTCCCACTGCCCGGCTGTAGTTTCAGCTCTTTTTAGCTTAGGAATTAGAAGAAGGAATTTTGCACCACCTGTTTTTCTCCTGTGTCCCAAACCCAGGTAGCGGAGGGCCTCTGAGATGCCTCTGCTGGAATCTGAGTAGTCCTTGGGTGGTGCCCAGCTCTGGAGCCCTCCTCAAAGTGACACGGGGCTGTCGTGTGTACTTGCTGCACTGCACCGGTGTGTGTGCACTAAGTGAATTGGTGTCCACTGGAGCCACCTTCTCTGACAGCCCCTGGGCCCTGGGGATGGGCAGTCACTTCTCTTTGCTTTGGCTCTTGGCGTGCGTGGATAAAGCTCTCAGGCAGGGGAGCTCATCACTTGATCTGCTTTCAAAGCCCAGCTGCCTCGTTGTGTATATATTCGCATTATTGAGAGCTGGGCTCCCCCTCCCCTGCCTACCTGTAATAGAACAGCTTTCAAGAAGACGACGTACCTATCACGGGGTTCTGTAAGTTCAGTTCAGGAAGTGCTTCTGGATTCCCTCTGCTCTTCATAAAGTACGGTGGATATAGTACTTCATAAAGTACTCTTCATATCCAGTGCGGTGGAGACCTAGGTGTGAGCAACACAAATGTGAATCGGATGTGTTCCCCCCACCCTGGGTCCCGCAGCCTCGTGGCAGAAATGGCCAGCAGGACCTAAGTAATGCTAAATGATGGGAGATGATAGTTTGGTTTTAAAGGACTTTCAAGCAAAAGGCTTTAGGGGAATGAGCCAAGGAGCAGTGAGTCCCTGTGTGGAGGGGTGCAGGACTGCTAAGACCCCAGCAGGGGCTGGCATTTGAGCAGAGCCTTTAAGGAAAGATTGGGCTTAGAGCAACCAGAATTGTCCAGGAGCACAGATGGGAGGAGGTTGGCCTAATAACCTGGTAACGAAGAGCCCTCTCCATCCTTGCTACTCAAAGTATGGTCACACCGGACCTGCTGGATCGGAACCACATTTTAACGAGACCCCAGAACACTGTGTATGCATTCGCGTTTGAGGATGCTGCCGACTGACTGCCAGGTGTCTTACTGTTCTCACCACTGCCACCGTGGCCTTTATGCAGGGTGCAAGGGACAGCCCGGGCTGGACGGCAGGAGGGGTGAGGATGGCATCCCAGGGCCGCCTGGGCCTCCGGGACACAGAGGTGACATGGGAGAAGCCGGCTGCCCTGGAGCACCAGGTAAGGTTTCAGTTTCTCGCCTTTCCTCTGACAAGCTGATCTGGGAACTGTGTGCAAGGCCCCCGCCTCTCAAGCAGCTTCCCAAACGGATCCTGTGAAAAGCATTTGCCTTAGATCACAACTCACCAGGTATTAGAGAGATGGAAACAGCAAAAATGAACTAGGCCGTATCCCCATGTACTTGCTCACCTGTCACAGCTGTCTGACACTTGTCATAAAAACAAGTCGAGGCCCTGTCTCCAGTTCAGTCTTTCCCCACACACTACACATTATCACAAAAGGCTCAGCCATCGCAGCTGCTCCCTTGTCCAAGGTAAGCCTGGCACCTGCTGTGTGCCCATCTTTGAGAGGCTGTGCTGAAGACGCTGGCGATGGCGGAGGGGGTCCCGCCCTGGACACTGGCCAAGTCACCTGGCCTCTGGTTTTCTGAGTTTACTTCACTATTGTACACCCATCGATAAATGTATATAGCATGCAAGCCTCTTTCCTAAGAAACAGGTTTGGGAGTGGGCACCGTGGGAGGGGAGAGAAGATCCTTCAGAACAGAAATTTGAAGTAGAATGCACCAGGACATACGTTAGGCTCCAGGGACCTAAAGACCCAAGGACACAGTCTTGATTTCGAGAGTGTCTGCAGTGCCAGGCTAGTAATGAGAAGGGGTGAGGAGGGCTGGGCGGGGTCTGCAGCCGGGAGGAGCCCAGTCTGAAAGCCACAGCTCAGCCTGGCCTGTGGTTGCCACGTGGAAATGCCGCCCAGCGTTGCCTACACTCTGCTTTTCAAGTCCAAGACCTCAGCTTGGGAAATCCTGGTGGGTCAAACGAAACCCAGGAGCAGGCCTCATTCACACTTTTTACTTTAACATATTCACACTTTACCTCTTTATTATGAGCATTGTCTGTCATTTCTCCAAGTGGAGTGTCAGCTCTAGGAGGGCAGGGCGTTTTGTCTGTTTTGTTTTTATGCTAACGTAGCCCAGCCTCCTGGATGCTGTTTGGAGTAAATGCTTGCTGAGTGAGCTGCGCGCAGACTGTGGGCGCTGCTGTGCCCCCTCTCCGCCCCCAGTGCTCAGCGATGCACCAGGCAGAGGTGCTCGGAAGTGTCTGTGAAACTGAACTCCCTAAGCGACCTTCATTTTTTTCTTTATTCCTGCAGGCCCTCCTGGGCCCATTGGGGATCCTGGGCCCAAAGGGTTCGGCCCTGGATACCTCAGCGGCTTCCTCCTGGTTCTCCACAGTCAGACGGACGGAGAGCCCACCTGCCCCATGGGCATGCCCAGGCTCTGGACGGGCTACAGTCTGCTCTACCTGGAAGGACAGGAGAGGGCTCACAGNCTGCAGGTGAGGGGGCACCTGCGGTGGGCGCTGCTGTGCCCCCTCTCCGCCCCCAGTGCTCAGCGATGCACCAGGCAGAGGTGCTCGGAAGTGTCTGTGAAACTGAACTCCCTAAGCGACCTTCATTTTTTTCTTTATTCCTGCAGGCCCTCCTGGGCCCATTGGGGATCCTGGGCCCAAAGGGTTCGGCCCTGGATACCTCAGCGGCTTCCTCCTGGTTCTCCACAGTCAGACGGACGGAGAGCCCACCTGCCCCATGGGCATGCCCAGGCTCTGGACGGGCTACAGTCTGCTCTACCTGGAAGGACAGGAGAGGGCTCACAGTCAGGACCTGGGTACGTACAGAGCAGCTGGTCGCCCGTGCCCACTGCCTGAGAGTCAAACTGGCCGGTTAATTTCACAAATTCGTGAAGACCTTAAATGATCGCTCCTCCTCTGTGGGATTTTTTCTCCGTTTACACTACCAGGGGAATCCTCAATGAATTCTGTTAAACCTGGCGTCCTGTGCCGTGCCAAAGCAGCTCGTTCTGGCTACTGTTATTATTATCTGACTACTTACTGGTTTTTTTAAAAAAAGACAGTGAGTGAGATGTAACCGATCTAAAATGCAGTTTTTACTTCTTCCTGCAAATGGTGCATGGGAGCACCCCGGCGATTACGTGGCGTGGTGTTCGCGGCACCCGCTCCCCACCCCACTCCGGCTGCGTTGTCCATGACAATGGGAGCTGGAGTCATTTCTTGGTGCCGTTCGTCAGTTTGCAACGGCAGATTTGTGAGACTGACGCCGAGAGTTTAAGCACTGGGTGCCGGCAGACACCGTATTTCCTGGTGATGAAGGTTGGGGTGGCGGGCACAGGAAGGAGATGCCAACAGGGATGGGTGCTGGTGGAGTGAGTTTTGTCACGGCTCTCACTGGGCCGTGACCCCTCACTGGGCTGTTATGGTCCAAGGGTGCAGGCCTGGAGGTGGCAGCTACTGACATGTCCCTCCCCTTTTCTCCCTTGGGGTCAGCAGGCCTTTCCCCTCAGAGGGGCCTGGGGAAAGGAAGTCACATTCGTATCTGACTTGATTTCTCTTCTCTCCTTCCTGCCCTCAGTCCCTTTCCTGCCTGGCCTCGGCGCCGGCAGCCTCCCTTCTCTGCCCTGTTCGAGCCAGAGCGCGTGTGGCAAAGCTCTGCAGAGCCCTTGGGAGAAAATCCCTTAACCAGACAGGCACAGCACCCATGCTCTGTCTGATTGGCTTCTGGACACCCTCGAGACAGACAGACACACAGACCTCTACTCCCACCTCCCCCCGGAACGCCTCTGAGTCCTCTGAGCCCCACCCTCC